AGAACTGCCTCTTTGGAGTTTTTGAGACTAACTGCTTATGGGAGTAGAAAGCCTTATTTTTCTCCCAAGGAGAGATGCTGGTGTTTCTTCTTCTTTTTTTTTTAAGGGCGCCAGGACCAACAATCACTAGCAGCCCAGGTAACAAAAATTACGCTTCCGAAATCTCTTGATGTCGATTCCGCACGTAGAGCAATAGAGATGCCCTACATGTGCCACTTAACGACAGAAGCCCTTGCTGGTGTTTCTAACTGCTGACCTTGACGATTGCAGCCTAACGGGTAACCACCACACCACTAGGGTTCCCTTTAACATTTGATACCAACGTGAAATTCTAAAGTATAATGACATTCTACTTTTACTAACATATGTAACACTACTCAAACACGAAATTGGTTTTGATTTTGAAATACGATTTCTCTAGTTCAATATAGGCGCCCCGATGGTCCAGAGTTTTAAGTGTTGGTTGTGAGCTGCAAGGATGCAGGTGTGTAACTAAGCTGTTGCTCTCTGCTTCCTTAAAGACTGCAGCCTTGGAAATCCCATTGAGCAGCTCCACCCTCTGCTAGACGGTGGTCAAGAGTCAAAATTGACTCAATGACAATAGATCTGAACTATATACTCAGTCGTTAAAATTGAGATAGCTGATATCCTTCACAGCAAATAAGAACTGCTCAGCTTTTTAAAAATGGAGTGCAGTCCTTGGTAAGCAAAGTGCACACATCTGAACTCTTCACTCCAGGTGTTACTGAGTGAGTCTGATTCATAGAGACCCTGCTATGTGCAGCAGAATGTAACATCCATCACCCTGGTCTGTACCGTCCTCACAATTGTTTTTGTTTCCAAAAAATACTCTATCAGTAAGGCACAGGAGTTAATGCAGCTCGAGAGTTATGTTTACTTTTTAAGGACTCAATTTATTTAATGTTCTTGTTAGTATGTAAAACGGAATGTTTTGAACAAATAAAATCTTACCTATAAACAAGCACTGTCCACAGTATAGTCACCAAAAGTACCCGGTACCTTTTTGGGGCTAGAAAGCAGCCGTGAATAAAGAAGGGTAGGTGAGTTCCCACGACTACGGGAAATCCTTGACTGAAGTACCAGTGCCATGGATGAGAACCATAAAATGCTCCCAAGTTTTGCAGCACATTAAATTGCAAAAAATTAAACTGAACCAAAGTCCACTGGCAGAGTTAAGGGGAAAAGAAATAGAAATAAGGGGAAAAGAAATAGAAATATATTAGTGCTAGGTATGAATATATGGCAAAGGATTTGATAGAATTTTGACATTTAACTCAGTGATATCTAAAAATCAGATAATTCATATTCCTAAGTATTAACTTTTTTCTGCCTTATGTATTGAGATATGCTTTGTACACATTTATACTCATTTTGGCAATGTAGGCCTTACAAATTATTGGATCTATATAAACAACTTTTCTGTGTCGTATGTTAGCTATATAAATTATTTGTACTTTAACATCGATGGTATCACATGTGACTAATAGGATGAAGCACTGAAAACAATGATTTAAATCAGTGCAGAGCAGATGGTGACAGCAGCAGGAACACTAAGTGCTCAGTTGTACCAGGCACTGCCCTATGCCCTTTATATACATTTTCTCTACTTGTCCACCAGCCGTTTAAGACCGGGGTCACAATGACTGCAGGACACTGGCAGGAGCCTTATTAGGCATCTGAGCCAGTATTGAGGACCCTAGGTTTCAGACCGTGGCTGTCTGTTCACAGAGGCTTTAATGACTGGGTGGGTAGTGGGGATGGCAATTTTAAACCAAAGTTCATTACTTAAAATGAGATTAAAATTTTAAACCAAATAGCTGAAGAAGTATTCTGATTACAGTGGTTTTAAAAGTTAACCTTTATTACTACAAACCTGGCAAAAATTTAGCTTGTCTGCCTTAAAGCACTTTTGAACACCAAAAGGAATATGCAGTTCTGTTATGTAGAAGATACAGCAAAAAATTTGTGTCCTTAATAAGATTCAAAATTCAGGTTGAGGTTTTAGTGCAATACATGTTTATATTAAAAGTAGCTGTTTAATATATTTTTACTTACTTGACCAATAAAAATACGATCAATTACCAAAGAGAAACCCAAAGTGACAAATCTGGAAGAAGAAAACAAAAAATGATGATTCATATCCCGAACCTACTGAAAACCCAGTATTGGTCTACAGCTTTGCAAGTGGCCGTAGAATCAAAAGCCACTTCACAAATACTTTATAATTTTACCAACAATATAGATTCACAGTTTGAAATGTCCTTTGACAAGCTGCATTTAAACAAACTTATAAAACAAAAAACGTGATGTACACTGTTCTCTATTGCTGCATAACAAACTGCCCCCAAATGCGGCAATTTAAAACTATACAAATTTATCCAGAATCCAGGGGTGCCTCAGCTGAGTGGCTCTGGTTCAAGACCTCTCATAACAGGCTGTTATGCCCGGGGTTCCACTTTCATCTGAAGCTTGACTTGAAGTGGAAGGGGGGATCTGCTTTGAAAGTTCCATTGTTGGTGACCAGGCTTAGTTCCTCACTCTGTGGCCTCGTCCGTAAGACTACAGCTGTGGGGACTGTTTTGCACAGGGTGAGCCAACTGCACTCCAAATGAGGGCCACGGTCTTCATAAGCCAGTCTTGGCAAGTGCAGCCTGTCACTTCTGCAATTCCCTTACTCATAGTACAGTTCACCCTCTAGTGAATAGGGTTATACAATGGTATGGATACCACTCGGAGGCTAGAATTAGGGGCCACCTCAGGCTGCCAGCCACAAATCTTTAGCGAAAAGTACCTTATGAGTGTAAAGACCCAGAATGCATCACGATGAACACGGGTACAACTAGCTGCCACACATATTGGCTTAAAGCAGTAATGGACCTTCAAAGGACCCCTGCCCCTCCAACCAGTCAGTATCTACTACCTCTTCAAAGGCACCACTATCCTGACTTCTGATGTCATAGATGAATGTTACCTTTTACATTTTTATAAAAATGGAGCAATACTGTATGTACTTTAATGTCCAGTTTCCCCTCAATCATCATTATGAGCCTTAACCTTGTTTTTTATTTTGTAAGTTAAAAGAAGTTCATTTATAATACTGTGTAGTATTCCACTTCATTAATCTACTGTAATTATTCCCGTTGATGGGCATTGTGGCCCCCACTTTCTTAGCTATTAAGAATAGTGCTGCTACAGACACTCTTCTGCCTGATTTGGCACCCATAGATATGCATTTCTGTTGGATACAAACACCAAGGATTTGGCATGGCTGGGCCCTGGGCTAGAAACCTGGTCAGTTTAGAACTACTTAACAGTTACATCCCACAAGGAATATCAGGGTTCCACATCCTTTTTTAGCCATTCAGGTGAATGTGCAGTAGTAGTTGTACCTCTATGGTTTTAATTAATTTTGTTGATGACTGATGGATACTTTTATACTTACTACCTATTTTATTATCTTCTGAAGTACCTCTTCAGACATTTTGATAATTTTTCTACTGAGGGTTATTAAGCTTTTTTTTAGTTGGGATTTAATACATACATCATTCCATATTTCAATCACACCAAGTAGAATGTACAATTGTTACCACATCAGTTTCCAAATATTATTTTTCTACATGGACTCCTTGACATTGTCTCCCTTTTACCCCACCATCACTGAACCCGCTCCTCCCCTGAAGCCCCTCATTCTACTTGCTGTCCTTATAGCGTCATCATCCTGGGTTTCATTTAAAAAGTCTTTTTAATAGATTCTGCATATATATAGAGTGGCACAATCGATATGGCCCCCTGGGTGGGTATGTTGTAGTGCTCGTAGATGAGAAGGACTTTCATCTCCCTCAGTGTAAAGACTACCTGATCTGGACCCGTTACGTCATTCTCCCCTGCAGCCACCCTCCCTTCACGGCAGTTCCTGGACTGCCAAACACACCCTTGCAGCACAGTCTGCACTTACTGGTCCCTTTCTTTGCTCGCGACGTAACTTTCACTTTGGGTCTTTACATGACTCTCTCCATTAGGTTTTTGCTCCCGTGAAGTTTAATGCTAGTTTCTCCCAAGTACCCTACCGAAAATAACACACATTTCCTGCACCAGCATTCAGTTCTCCATAGTCCACATTATTTTTCTAGCATTTATCATCATTTGACATATTTATGCTTCTCCTTTTAGTAGTCTTACTGCCCTAACGAATGTGTAAGACTGAGTCCAGCAGGGACTTCATTAAATTGCTATCTCCAACATCTGGAACAGTGCCTGGCACATAGTAGGGTTAATGAGTATTTGCTGACAATATATTCCAAGTAATATTAATTAGAGAAACAACAGTAGCAACTTAGCCATATTAATCAAGATAATTTAGTCCTTTTAAAATAGCCATCAGAAAAATACATGTACATGTTGATGTAAGACATGAAAATTTTTTTAATAAATTATCAAGGGTTCAAGAGGGAGGGAGGAAAAAAATGAGCTGATACCAAGGACTCAAGTAGAAAGAATGTTTTGAAAATGATGATGGCAACATGTACAAATGGATACATAAGAATGTATCCTTGATACAATGGATGTATAAGCTGTACAAGCCCCCAATAAAGTGATTTAAATTAAAAAAATACATGTACACAGTGAATAATAATATTAAATAGATAACTGTTCTAAAAAAGAGCACTGTTGTGAGAGTCAGAATTTCATTCATCTCTTTAATAAAGAATTGTTTTGAATACTTTACTCACTACTTGAGGTAAGTCTGATCCTAGTTCCTTTATAGTATCCAATCCAGTGACTTTGACTAACTCATTTTCACTTTCTCCAAGCCCCCTGTTTCCACTTGTACAAAACAAAAACAACTGTATTGCTTAGATCTAAGAACTGATCATTGTGAGGAAATATGTGAAAATACATTGTAAACCACAAAGCTATACAAATATAAAAGAAGCTATCTTTTTAATGTACATAAGAATAAACCATAGACAAATTCTAAATGAGAAATAATTGCATAAACACCTATTTAGGCAAATTAAAATATATTTAGTTATAAGAATTAAAGCACATTACAATAAAATGAGAGATTTTCTGTCTCCTTCAACCAACAATTCTTATTCACTTTAGAAGATAAAATAATTGACTGAAAGATATACAATCTTGTCCACAATCTTTAACTTGTGAATTATTAGTAGATGGGTTATAGCCATACTTACCCTACAAGCAAAAATTGATGCAGAATAAGATCAAACTTCTTACGCTCTTGCCAGAAGTGTCTGGCGAGCAAAGGTATCCACGGGATGACAACTGTGGGGCGAATTATGAAGGCAAGTGCCAGCAGGGACGAGTACTTGACACTATAAGCAAGAAAAATGTGGTGTTAAAATAACTGGGAAATGAATTTGGAGCTTAACTATGCTTTATATTGTGATAAGAAATGAGGCCATGTTTCTTTTACTCCAATACACCTCCTCACAGTGGTCATCCCCAATCGCCCTATTTAAATGTTAATAACACACTTTCCCTGCACCTGCTGGCCACAGCCCATATTACTTTTTGCTCTAGCTGCTGATTGTGGGCATATTACTCAAAGCTTTCTGGATCTGCAATTTTTCTTATCTGTACAAAAAAATTACCTACAGGCTAATATACTACTATTATTTCTAAAGAAGATGTTATAATAATGCTGGTCTTGCTGAAATGTATGCTAACTTTTAAAAACTCTAATCGTTTTCCTGATGGAAAAAGGATCCACCTCTTTCTAAGGACTTAACAAATGTCTCACAAAATCTCTAAGGAGAGAAAATGAAATATTAGGACTACTTAGGTTAAAACTGACTTTTGCATACATGTAAGTTTTATTTTTAAGCTTATTGTGGATTAGGTGGAAGTTTACAGAACAGCTTATCAATTTTACATTAAGTAGCTCGTACATATTTTCTTTTAAGTTGCCCTCTGCAATCTCAACATATCCTCTACTACTTCCGTTTCTTATTTCCATTCCTCTTCCTTTTTAACCCAGTGAACTTTGCCTTGGGGTAAATGCTACCTCTTGATCCTAAATGGTTGACGATTCTATCAGACTAATAAGTCTGATCTCTTATGATTTTGAATTCTGTTTATTTTTCTCCCAGTCTACTCAGGACTCTATAGTGTTCCTTTTTAGAGCATCTAGTAGTGGTGGCTAGGGCACCACCTAGATCTGGTCGTAGAGGCTAAGGTTTATGTGACTATAAAAAAGCCCTTTTACACCTCTGCGCTTTTATTCATGTTGTCCCCTTTGCCGGGTGTTTGCTCCCTCATTTTGTTCCAGTCAAATCTGCTTCCACAATATATACTGTTATTGTCCATCTAGATTCATTCTTTTCCATCCTTCCCCTGCTTTATGGCCAGTGAGGTGATCCAATATGGATTTCGTCAAAGAGCTGCGTGCTTTCTAGTTTCTGCCTGGGTTGCGTTGGTGGAGGGCAGGAGGAGAGTCAAGTGTGCGCTGCTGGAACGGAAGGCAGGCTGTGCCGGACTCCTGGGGGGGCGGGGCGGGGCTCTCCTACAGCTCTCTCTCGATTCAGTCACATTTCCCTTTCCTTGCTCTGGGCCCAGAATGGAGACTCCCTCTTATGACTAGCCCTGTGATCTTTTGGTAACCCCTCATTGGCTTCCCTAAACATTGCATACATTTTCATAAACAATCCTTTTATGAAAGTCTCTTGAATTACTCAGTTTATGTGTGATGTGATTCCTATTGTAATAAATATGTCAACTGGAAATTTGTTTCAATAATGTTTATGTACATTGGGATGCCTACTGTTCATTATAATATGTTGACATTTCAAAGTTCAAAAGCATGCTTTAGAGTTTTGTATATAATCATCAATAGCAATATATCTCACCTGTTCATAGACTTTGAACCTTCTAAGGGATAGTAGAAGAGAGCAATGGTTGTGAGAACCGTTTCCATGGTGTTTGTAAGCGTTCTCGTACAGCAATACCATGTAAACCAAGAGCACAACTGGCAAAAGAACTAGGACAATTATGAGTGAATATGCATGGAGTAGGAAATATCAGAAAAATAGCAATTAATTCCAAATGTTGCAAAATGCACATGAAAAAAAAGTGTTAAAAAGTAATTAGGCATGTCTAAACATTTTAATGAGGTTACATCAAACACAGGTCTATAATAATTTCAGGTATATATTTGCTAAATCTAAGAAATGTATACCTGTACATGGATTTTAATGACATTGCACTTGATTTAAATCCTAGTTCCCACTAATGAAATACATGAAACAAATTACTTGATGGTAGATTTCATGGAGGATTGAAATTCCTTACTAGAGCCTCCCAGTTTCCTCCAACTATCTTAACATTGCCAACAGTATTTTGAATTTAAAAAAAATTAAAATTCCCAATGACCTTGAGTGTTGCTATACTTCTCAATAAGAAACAAAACAAGAAAAGAGAATTGCCACAATTCAGGTCTTTTTTTGCCACACGCTGTTACTCTGTCTTTTCAGAACCTCTAAGTAGAAAGCTGGTGGGACGAACTCCAAATGCACTAGGAGTAGACATTTTCCTCCATTCGGGAAGTTGATGGACATCCAGAACGAGGTTTGTCATCAACATTTTACCTTTTTTGAAAAAAGAAAACCTCTCCTACACTTGAGTTTTTCCATAGCACTGTCCTTGTAAACTGTTCAACATCACAAGAGTTTCTGCAGCATTTTTCCCAAGCAGGAATGAAAATTTCACAGCCAAACGCTGTTCTCTTAAATCTGCCATCACACAAAATGAGGTTCGAGCAAAACTGCTTTCACAAAAAAATTAACTGTGGCCAGCGAGAACCTCCCCAGGTGACACCACTGGATGCACTAACTCAGAACAAGTTGCTGGATGCTTGCCTAGTAGGGGGAAATGCATTCTATGAAAGCTCTGCCCAGTGGAGCTTTATTCCATTTTTTGGGGGAAAATACCCCCTCATATTTCTCAAAAAGTCCATACTAGTGGAGAGGGGTCGCAATAGGGTGCTTTTGAGGTAGACAGAACTAGTCCTACTAAATTTTATGGACGGTGAGGCAAAACCCAAGTTTTGAGGTGTGAAAGAACTTCGAAAGGTGGTGTAGAGCAGTGGCTCTCAACCTGTGGGTCGTGACCTCTTTGGGGGTCGAGTGACCCTTTCACAGGGTTCACCCGATTCGTAACAGTAGCAAAATTACAGATATGAAGCAGCAGCGAAAATAATTTTATGGTTGGGGGTCACCACAACATGAGGAGCTGTGTTAAAGGGTAGTGGCCTTAGGAAGGTTGAGAACCACTGCCCTAGAGTTTCTTTCCTAGAGGCTAGTCTTTAATAAATGCGAGTGTATCAGTGGCTTTCACCACCTGGGGCTCAATGAAGAGAGCAAGGGCATATCATATTTGCATTTTACTGTTCTTAATTATGAAGGTACTTTTATCAAGTAGTATGAATGATCTTTTTAAAAGCTGTAGTAGCATACAGTGCACACATACAATTCAATAGTTCAGTCACATCAGGAAGAGTTTCACAATCATCACCACAGTCAGTTTTAGAACATTTTCTTCATTCTCGTACTCATCGTTATAAGCTCCCCATTTCCCCCAGCTAGACCACCAAGGAACCATTAATGTAGTTGCTGTCTCTATAGATTTACTTTTGGATTTCAAGTACAGTACAGGAAAACAAAAAGCAAAACAAACCTCCAAAACTAACTAACCATAACAAAGTAGAACATAGAAAAACTTCAAAAAGAAATCAGAAAAGTAATAAAGACTAGAGCAAATTTCAATGGATCAGACAGGAAATCAAATTATAGGATGCTAAATGTTCATGGCATCTGCCACAATCCACTTTCCAATGCCTGGTGCATGGTAGCAAGGCTACTCCTGTGCCTGGTCCCTGGTCAGAGGTGCGCCAGGGGCTTCAGCCAAGGGTCTTCCCTTCACTTTTGTTTTAAACTAAAACAGCTTTACAGTGATTCAAGAGCTATATAAATTAGCTTCTGAAATTGCTTTGGGAATCTGTTTTATGCCCACATATATTAGATAACTACCCTACAGTTTCTAATGCGTTTAGAACTTACCACCCATCTGGCTAGTTCCCGATTTTCTAGTTGCTTCATTAATGAGTAAAGCTTCACATCTGCTACAGCTGATAGAAGTGCTTGGGCAAGTCTGGGAACCCAAATCTTCAATAGTTTAAAACAACAAAAAAGAAAAGATAAGGTATATTAACCAAGGCATCTGCTAGTTCACAATGAATTTTTATCAAATAAGCTGATCTTAAAAATTAAGTGAAAACCATTCTTAGAACAAAAACAAAACAAACAAACAAAAACGGATTTTCTTACAAGGATTTCATTTCTCATGGAAATACCGAGTAGTTTATTAGAAGCACATTTTGTTATTAGCATAACGCTAACTTTTATCAAGCTTTTACAGTATGTAAGGTATCATACTAAGTATATATTACCTCATTTAATCTTAACAGTTCTATGAGGTAAGTACTATTTTATTTCTGCTTTATTAATAACAGGTTAACTGATTTTCTTAAGGCTGAGCAGCTAGTGTGTAAAAGTCATGATTCACACCCAAGTGGACCTGACTCCAAAGCCTCTACTCTTAACTGTCAAGCTGTGCTTCCACCACAGCAGTGTAGATAATAAAAGATACAATTCCTTTTAAAAGTAAGTACAAGTATTCTGAAATGATAAAAATACTTTCAGATGACATGAGTCAATGTATTATACTTGAAATTATAGTTAAAAATTCCAGTGATACACATTAGAACGTTGAGTTTTTAAAGAAGCATCATTAACACTCGTTGGTGTGACACATAAGAATCATTCAAGTGATGGGTTTCTTGAAGGATTATCATGTTGAAATCTTAAATTCTGAAGAAGGTAGATTTTAGCTTAACACAAAATAACTGGAATTGTAAATGCCTAGTCCTGATGGTGTAGTGGGTTAAACACTCAGCTGCTAACCATGAGGTTGATGGTTCAAGCCTGCATGGTGCTTGGAGGGATAAAGATGAGACTTTCTGCTCCTGTAAAGATTTACAGTCTGAAAAACCCAAAGAAGAAATTTTGTGCTGTCCTATAATGTCAATGAATTAGAACTGATTTGAGGGGCAGTACATGGAGTCATTTGCATTCTCTGTAAATGGTAAGATACTACAATTTTCCAGGCTGTAGTAAAGGCCTTATAAGAATTAATAATAGTTGCAAATGGCTTTTGGAAAATGAAAGTGAGTAGGGAGGGGGACGAGAATGAACAGGCCTGGGTAAACGTGGAGTTTGTTAAAGTCTGTGCTGGTATTTACCATTCTGTTCCAGCTCCTGTTCTTTAGGCTGCAGATCCTTTCCTTAAGTTCCAAGAATCTAATGCCCTGTGTATCTGGATTTTTCAAAGTGCCCACAGTGGCGCCCCATTTGAGTCTCCCTTCTTCCTATCTTATGCTCTAAACCAGCACTGTCCAATAGGAATATGATGGGTGCCACATAGGACATTTTATGGCAGTCACATTAAAAAAGTAAAACAAGAAAGGTGAAATTGTCATCAACTATTTCACCTAATACATCTACAATATTATCACTGTAACATTCAATATAAAAATTATAGCAATATTTTATTTTTCCAGACTAGATCTGACATCCAGTGTGTATTTTATACTAAGCTATTAGTCCACTTCTCAGTTTGGACTAGCCACATTTCAAGTGTTTAATAGCCATTTGCACTAGTGACAAAAGGAGCCTAGGTAGCAAAGTGGGCCACTAACTGCAAGGTTGGCAGTTCAAGCCCTCCAGCCACTGTGGGGAAAAGGTGGAGCTATCTAGGATCAGAAACCCTTCATTATGAGACAAAATTGGCTTGATGGTGGTAGGTTTAGTTTTTTTGTTTGTTTGGGGGTGGTAGCTATCATTAATGGACAGTGAGCATCCCCAATTCTGTACAAATACCTTATCTTGTTCAGGGAGAAGCTGTCTGAAAAAAACCTTAGGCTATGAGTAAGTTGAGTTAGGACTTAATTCTAGCTAAACTATTAAAAGATTGTGTGGTCTATTTAATTCACTTTTCTTGTCTCTCATTGCTTCAAAATTAGATATATACATATATTCTATATGTAATCAATCCAGAGTGTGAATGACAGATTTATGCTCATAGATCTCTACCTGGTCAACTTCTAGGTCAGCAGTCTTTTTTAAGGAAGGGGCAGTTGACTTTGGTTCACAAGTGGCTCCGCTATAGGTTGAAAGTTATGGATAAGTACTGAGTTATTTGAATAGGAAGTTTTTCTGATTTTCTTGCAGACTCCTTCATTCATAATCTAAACTATGCCTGAGCTATGCAATGCCTTCATGGCACTATGTACATGTACTTATGGCTCCAGACTTTAGGAATATAAGTAGTCCCTAGGATACAGCTGTCCAAATTACAACTATGGTTCCTTAATATAATTTGCTTATTCTTTGAAGCGATGGTCAAACCCTGAGTAGGGGTGAGTACAAAATAATCTTCATCAGAATCACCTTTGCTGGTGCATGTTGAGGTTTTCATTTACTGAAAAGACTTCTATTTCTTAAACTAAATAAAGTTAATTAAGAACTGTATGCACCTGTCCTGACTTATTGAGAAGTTCAACTCGAAGAGCCACTTAGCAATGGATTGTAACTCTGGGGCTACCCATACTCTGTATAATTTAGAAACTAGTGCGAGCCCTGAGGGGGAGGGGAGGGAGGTCACATCAGTCTCCCCATCAATGGGAGAAATGTTGCTACTGTTCTAAACTCTTCATCTCTATGATCTTCCCATGGCAAGCATGCTTGACTGCTCTGATCCTTGTTTCTCCATGATGAGGAATCCTATATCCTTTGAATTTGCCTTAAAACAAATGCTCCTGAACCTCAGCACCTTTCCAGGCTCCAAAAGTACCTCACGATTTGGACTCCTTTTGCAATAGGGAGCCACCCCTGACAGCCCCCTCTACGAGAAAAAGTTGGGAAGGCTCAAATTTCTAGACCTAACTTGATGACACCTTACGACACTCGAGATTGAGGCTAGAGAAACTTTTGCATCCATTCATACACTCCTTCAGGAATTAACTCCAGAAACGCATGATCTAAGAATTAAGACCATCAAGTCAATCACCATTCGTGGCAATCCCACTGTGCGGAGTAGAAGTGATCCATATGGTGGTGCCCAAGGCTGTGATGTTTCAGAAGCACATCCTCAGGCTGGTGTTCCAAGGCCCCTCTGAGAGATTCAAGCAGCCAGCTTGCCTAGTAGTCAAGCCCTGAACACTCAGGGACTCCAAGTCCTGCCTCGCCTGCTGACTTCATTAAGTTTTTGTCAAATTCATTTTTCCTGTGTCTTTCAATACTAAATCCTATGTGGGTTTACATAGATTTACTCTTGACAAGTTCATGTAACCACTCACAAGTTAAAACAAAAAACACTGATTTCAATGATTCATTTATAAAAAAATTCAGTTTAAATCATTACTGTAAAATGTAATCATTCTTAAAATCTGCATATCTTAATGGGATTCCTGAGAACTCTCATGTTCAGTTTCATGTTTTAGCTTTATTGAAGAATTACACCTCATAGCATACTTTTGTGACCATAAGCTTCCAAGATACAGTCAGATCTTAGCAGCAGTAGCTGTTTAAACAAACTTCCTTTAGTTAATATACATTCATTTTCAAAAAAGGACAGAATAAAATTGACTTTTTTTTTTTAATAAAATTGACTTTCTAGAATGACAATTTATTTTTATTTAAACTTACCAGCAACTGAACATTATCTTTCCCCAAAAGATGCAGAATCTTGTAAATGCTTGCAAAGATTAAGGGATAAGTATAACCCCTCAACTTTTCTGTCCATTCCCAGGTCAAATAACCATAATTGGTAATATTAAGGATTAAATTTCATAGAGTATTGAAACAAAACATTTTTGCTTTAGTGTATAAAGTGAAAATTTTATTTTAATGATGCAGCTTTAAAACCACAGGTGTTTTAGACTGGATATCTTAATTAAAAATGCAGTTGTCCAACTAAACTCTTAACTTCCTCAGAACAATGTGCTTTTAATTCATCTATGTCTTCCAAAGTACTAAGCACTGCTAGGGACTAATATATGCTAATTAAGGGTTGGATCCACTATATTAACATAAAAAACCCGATAGAGTAACAGCATAAAATAATGGCATTCCTTGAGTTAGAATATATTTGGAAAAATTAAGGAAAATTGATTAGAAATAGCTAAGTGAGAGTGACCCCATTCCTAAAATGACTATGTAATCCTACTTTAGGAAAGAAAATACAAAGGATATTTGAAAACCATGTAATGTGCAACTTCAAGAGATTGCCAGTATTCATCTGGAACAAAGCTTGTCTGAACTAAAAAGCAGTTAAACATTCTTAAGGCTATGGTAAACAAGACCAGATAAATGTTTTCACCAAGAAGATCTGAAAAGCAAAAACAAAACAAGTAATTGTGGCATAAGGAATCCAGCAAATTCTACTTGGCAGAGCTTAAATGGTAACACTTGGGTGGACTTCTTGCACGTTAGGCCATGGTAGTGGAATGTGGCACTTCCACACCACACCACTCCCAAAGCACCCATGGCTGACAGCTAAACTAGGGCTACAACCTCATCAGAGTCCCCTCTTCAACCAGCCTTTCTTTTTTCTTTTTTAAATCATTTTATTAGGGGCTCATACAACTCATCACATTCCATACACACATCAATTGTGTAAAGCGCATTTGTACATTCTTTGCCCTCATCATTCTCAAAACATTTCCTCTCCACTTAAGCCCCAGGCATTAGGTCCTCATTTTTCCCCTCCCTCCCCGCTCCCCCCTCCCTCATGCACCCTTGATAATTTATAATCAACCAGCCTTTCATGCAATCTATTAATACAGATAATATGAAGTGATCTATGAAAAGGACTGCTAACTAAAAACCCTAGATTACTCCACATGTGTATCTAGTGAAATAAGCCCCAACTAACAACAAACAAGCTGCTTACTAATTTAAGTTTATTTTTAATTTGAATTTAGCTGCCAACATTGAAAATAATATTTTAAATTTATGAATTCCCAGCATTCTAAACAGTTTTAGCTTTTATAATAGAGGGCTCAACTGGCACCATGTGATTGGCATAAACATATATGCTGCCCCCTTTTAAATGGGGCAGATGGTCCTGGGAAGCTCCAGTTCTTCAGCCCTGCCTGTCCAGCGTCCTGCCAGAAAGGCAGGCTTTCTACTCCCTGCAGCGACAGTCTTGGAAACCCACTGGGGCAGTTCTACCCTGTCCTTAGGGGGTCACTGAGTCGGTCTCACCTGGATGGCAGTTTGTTTTGTCCAGCATCCTGGGTACTTGAGTTTTCAGCAAGCCTCTGACCTTCTGCTTGCCTTGTCATTTACTGCTCAGGGTTCCTACCGTTCTGCTTACCTATTCTCGGACTACTGGCAAACTCAACGCATGCATGCCCCATCCAAACTTTATCTTTCTGGAACACTGAAACGCAACCTTGCTGAATTATTTTCCTGAAGTCAGAAAGAAAAAATTGCAACACCCCCCTCTCCCATTATTCTTTTATCTCAGTTGGACCAAAGAGTATTCAGAACTGGCTCTTGACCAACTGCTCGACGACCGAAATGTTGACCCGCACTTAGGAGACAGAACCAAACCGAACTCACCGCGGCCGGCCGAGGCCAGAGCGACCGTGTAAGGCACAGAACCGCCCTCGGTGGTTTGAGACCCATTCCTTAACGGGAGTAGAAAACCTCATCTTTCTCCCTGAGGTGCAGCTGCTGATTTCAAACTGCTGTAGTTAGTTGCTCAACGCCTAACTAGTATGCTGGCGGGGAAGACGGGAGCAAGTTCGGGCCCAGCGACACCTGCTCCCCATCGCTCCTTTCCTTCCTCCCCTCTTCATTGAACAAAAAACGACTCAGCTCTTGGCAGATCTCAGGTTTTCAGAGGAGAAACAGCATCCTTTTCATGCCGTCTCCAAAATATGCACATGTACTAAATGAGTGGGGAGACCCTCTTGGACCAAAGATACAACTTGCACTTCCTGGGGATGACTTCTCTAGTTAACATCACGTCCGGAGGTCCCTGGACCAAAGCAATGGGGGCGGAAGTCAGGTGGGTTCTGTTCCAAGACCGCGCCTATCACGGCTCCGGGATGAGGAAGATTTCGTCTACTTACAGGCGTGGTCATTGAAGATTAAACAAGCTAAATGGCTTGGTCCAGGTCTCTCCGGCACCCAGCGACCCTGGCTGCTCCATCTCAAAGACGGGCCGCTGGAACGGAGGACCACGTCGCGAGCGAGCTGCAGCTCCTGAGCAACTCCACCCACTAGATGGAGCCCTCGCACAACGTCCACGGCTTCCCGCCGCGACCCCCGCGCTCGGCGTCCGCCCCCCTCACTCACCCCCGCGGGGTCCGAGGCTCGCCTCCTGGGAGCGGACGTACAGAGCCGATTTCCTCTTTCGCAGCTTCGTCTTCTGCGAGCGGTCCTGGAGCCCGCGGAAGAAGAGGCGGCGGTGGCCGCCCTCCCGCTCCATCCTGCACCTGCTCCCGGGCCCGCCGCACAGGCCCGATCGGGGGCCGCCGTGGCCGTGCGGAAGGCCGCCGAGGGAACGCGCGGTGCTCTGCCGCACGCTAAGTTTGGTGTCTGCGCCGCGCCGTCGTCCGCGGGCGCGGGGGCAGCCGGGAAACGGCGACGTTCCGCAGGGCTCTCCCCGCCCCCTGCCGTGTGCTCCGCGGCCGCTTCGGCGGGCTCGGGACGCGCCGCTGGGCTTTCTCGGCAGATGCTCCCGCGCATTCCCGCTGCCCTTTCCTGGCGGCCGGCTTTCTGTCCTGGAGTGTTTGCGGTCCGAGCCCGGAAACGTGGCTGCGGGGAGCCCGACCTCTCCTCCGCGGGACCTGCGGCGGCAACGTCAGCGACGCCCGGCGGGCGCCGGTCGGTCAGCCGTTCCTCGGCGGTGGTACCTCTGGTCCTGGAGCCTGTGTGTGACGTTACACGGTGTCCTCTCTCGATAAATACTTGTGAAACGGGGGAGGCAGGGTAAGGAAGATTGAACCCATTGTACAGGTGTGGAAATGGAGGCTCACCAGTGATTCGGTCAAGGTCTCGGTGAGCTAGTGCCCCCTTGGGAACCGTCAAATTCCCGTGTCATTTCATCAGCTTTCCACGGAGCTGGCTTGCAAGTGCGCCCCTGCCCCCAATACTTTTCAGCGTCTGTTAATGAAAACGGGCTTAATGCTGTTGACATTTATATCTACAGTAGACCCCCACTGCTATATGCTAGATTCCAACTCAGAGCGAATCCATAGGAGTTCTGAGCTTGTGGAAGCAGACAACGTCATCTCCCGCACTGAGACTCCGGGGGTTAGAACCGCAAACGTAGCGTCTAGCAGTCCAACAATTACCTGGTAGCGCCATCAGGACTCCTTAACAGTAAAAACCTGGAGGAAAGGGCTTTTCGTTTCCCTGTTATTTTACCTTACAATGTAGGACTGTGAAAGGGATCCGATTTTCTCATACTGGAATTTTTGACTTTGGGCCTTGGTCCTGGGTTTAGCCAACTGTTGTTCCAAAGGCCAGTTGGGTGTATTGTTTTAATAAAGAAAACATGGAAATCCTTTGCTTTCCTCACTTGTAAATAGATACTTAGTTTCAGAAACCAAGGTCTTACAGCAAGGAGAATTATTGTCCAAGAACTTGTCTTGATTATCTGATGAGAGTAAAATCAGCCAAATCTCCATCATATTTCTGTCAAAAACCAAGCGGATGGGTTGACTTGTGCCCACTCCAGTATCAACAGGAGCATATACCTCAAATCTCTTCGGTTGTTAGGGGCTCTGGAGTCTGTTTTTGACCCCTGTTGGTCTCTTGTTAACCAAAAACTGCCCCAGAGGGTTCTTTAGTTTATAATCTTTGAGGAAGCGGATTGCCAGGCCTTTCTCCTGTGAAGTTAATACTTGGGTTGAACC